CAGGACTTCATATATGTGAACGCTCTGATATTGCTCCCCACTCCGAATAAATTCATTATCAGCGTCATATAATTTCCCCTCCCACAGGTGGATCTGAAAACCTGTAAGATTTTCTGTTTTCCCGATAAAATTTTGGATTCCAAGGATTAACCGTAGAATTAACCAAACAGGATATAATAATCGTGGGTTATTGAATAAAAAACTCCAGGAATGATTTCCTATTCTTTTTAATAAATTATTGTTTCTCATAAAAGACCATTGCTAAGAAATCCCTCATAACATTAAACGAAGGGTGCCCATGGCTTCTGAGAGTCTCTCGAGATCCGCCTGACTGGTGCTGAGTTTCTCAGAATTATTTATCCGAGCAGCTTCTGGAACTCTAGTCACGTAATCGCTGGCAGCGATTGCCTCCTTCAGTTTCTGAATCGTTGATTTCAGCTGGTCTTCCTTCTTCGAGAGCTTCTCCAACTCCTTCTGCGGCTCGATGAGTCCCTTGAGTAATAAATGAATGTGGACGTCAATCGTGATTACGATTTTAGCACATCCTTCCGGTGCCTTTCCACTCAGAACATTCGAATAAGCAAGAGTTCCAATCATCAGATTGTACTCCTGGAGACGTTTCTCCAGGTCAGGATCAGTGCACTCGATGTAGGCATCAGTTTTTATTTTATTTGGCAAAGCATAAGTTGATCGAGTTGATCTAATACTCTTGATTAACTTATAAACAAAGTCCACGTCTTTCTCGATTGTCTCGTTTCTCCATGGACACACTAAGACCTCAGGATATGGACTGACGCAGATACTAGGGTACATTAATTTGGCCCTCGGCAGTCGTTGATACAGTTCTTCAGTGATAAAAGGCATGAAGGGACTCAGTAGTCTCAGTCCCACATCCAGGGTATTGAAGAGCACTTTCCTGGCCGCTAGAATTTGCTCTGGAGCTCCAGTCTGGAAGACTGGCTTCAGGTACTCCAGATAGACATCGCAGAGATCATAAAGCCAGAGATTGTAGCAGGCGGTGGTGACGGCGTTGAAGTCGTACTTTGCCATTCCCTCGTCACATATCTTCACGGCGTGACTCACTCTAGACAGCATCCAGAGGTCCACATTTGTTTCGTGGCCTGTCAGCTGGAATCCTCCAGGAACAGTCGAGGAGGATCTCGATGTGCATCGAGCCATAAAGTCACCGTTCTCCAATCTGAATGATTTTTTCTCAGCTAGACTGAAGCTCCGCATGTGCCGCTGCCAACGCTCGAGATGAACTCGCCCATTTATTTTTATCTTGTCGAGAATTTCCACTATCTTACTGTCTGCTTGCGATGGCGTATACCCATCAAGATACGGGAATTCCGATAAATAATCATTCAATGAATCTTGAATGCACTCTTCTCCAAGCAGTTTTGAGTACCAGTAATTATCCCCAATTTTTGATCCGTTGACATTTATTTTTTCAGTATCTTCACTGTACTTGAAGTCCCCCAGGTACATAATAGCGAACTTAGTGGCATTCCAGATTTTATTACAGAAGAACCTGTACCCCTGCACCCTAAGAATATCGAGATTGATATCGCGCCCCTGTGAGGTGTATGCACAGAGTGCAAATCTGAGGGCATCAGTGCCACACTCAGGTATACCCTGGGGATAATCCTTTTTCTGTCCCTCGATTGCATTCTTGAGTTCCCTGGGATCGAGATTGGATTCCTCCAGCTGTTTATGAAGCTTCTCGAGGGTGACACCGTTGATGACGTCCATAGGATCAATGACATTACCCAGCGATTTGCTCATCTTCCTGCCATGGGCATCCCTCACCATCGCGTGGAGGTATACTTCCTTGAAGGGTAGTTTTCCCAGGAGTTTTTTCCCCAGGAATACCATCCTGGCGACCCAGAAGAAAAGGATGTCATGGCCAGTCTCCAAGAGGGTTCCAGGGTAGAAAGCCTTGAGATCGTCGGTCTCATCGGGCCATCCGAATATCGAAAAAGGGAATAATCCTGAGGAGAACCAGGTGTCCAGGACATCAGGGTCCTGTTTTAAGCTGATCTGGTTTGCAGGAACATTGAATTTCTTGGAAGCCTTGCCTCTCGCCTCGTCCTCGGATCTCCCTGACACCCAGAGCTCATCGTCAGGAATTTCGTTTGGTTTTACAGAGCCAGTGAAGGTGATAAAATACGCTGGAATCCTGTGGCCCCACCACAACTGCCTGGAGATGCACCAGTCCCTGATCCCCTCCATCCAGTGGTACCACGTCTTCTTGTGCTGCTCTGGAATTATTCGGAGTTCACCTGATGTCACGGCTGAGACCGCCTCGGCTGCCATATCGTCACAGCGGATGTACCACTGGGGTTTAATCATAGGCTCGACGATATCCTTCGATCTACTGCACACTGGCACCACCATGGGGTTGTCCTTGGTTTCTATGAAGAGATTTTTCGATTTCAAGGCTGTTAGGATTGCCTTCCTCGCATGGAATCTCTTCATGCCAGTGAATTCCCCATAATCCCCGACGATATTGCCCTCGTCGTTGAAAATCGTGATAAATGGCAGATTATGTCGTTTTCCAACCTCGTAGTCATTGGGATCATGGGCTGGAGTGATTTTTACAGCTCCAGAGCCGAATTCCATGTCCACGAAATCATCAGCGAGGATGGGAATTCTTCTGCTGCAGAAGGGATGCTTCACGAATTTTCCAACGAGGTGTTGATACCGTTGATCGTTTGGATGTACAGCAATAGCTGTATCTCCCAGCATTGTCTCGATTCTCGTTGTTGCTACAATTAATCTCTCATTCGTCTCCTCTACTTCATATGCAAAATGCACAAGAACTCCGAACTCCACCTTCTCGGTGTACCCTGGAATTGAAAGAAGGGTTTTCCCTGTGAGCTCGACTTTGTCGACTTCGATATCGGAAATGGCGCTCTTCAGCGTGCAGGACCAGTTGACGAGTCTGTTGCTCCTGTAGATGATATTGTCATCGTGGAGACGAACGAATGCCTCGGTGACAGCTCTGCATAGCTTCGGGTCCATCGTAAAACAGGCGCGATCCCAATCGAAGGAACTCCCCAATTTTTTTAATTGTTCGTAAATTCTGCCTCCCTTTTCATTTTTCCACTGCCACACCTTCTCTATGAATTTATCTCTCCCCAGGTCGTGACGTGTCTTCTGCTCCTCTCGCCAAATTTTCTTCTCTACGACGACTTGAGTTGCGATTCCTGCGTGGTCACATCCTGGATTCCAGAGGGTGGTACGACCCTTCATGCGATTCCATCTGGTGATTGCGTCTTCTACGGCGTTGGTGAGGGCGTGCCCCAGGTGGAGGAAACCTGTGACATTGGGCGGTGGAATGACCATCACGAAATTACCCTTGGGGTTCACCTCAGAGACCGACGTCCTTCCGTACTCTGGTTTGAAGAAACCTTGGCTTTCCCACCAAGGGTACCACGCTGCCTCCACGAACTGGGGACTGTAGGCATCTGGCATTGGAATTGTTACATTTTTCTTGGTGCCTGGAGGTGTCACTACATCGTAGACAGCTGCTTCCTTCTGCTCTTTCTTCTTCTGCGGTTTCTGGAAATTATAATTTTCCGAATTGATATCTCGAAAAAAAGTTTCTACTGAAAAATCCTTGACAGAAGAATTCTGTCAATAATTCTGGTAACATAAACTCAAATTATAAATAAATTCATTAATAAAGATAATTTATAAATTAATTTAAAATATAAATTTGGATTTCACCTTGGTAAAAGGAGGAGAATAAAATTAATTATGAGCGTTTAATTGTTAAGTAATAATTAGAATCTTTCAAGGAACCCCCAAATGCAATAATAAATTCCGAGGTGTAATTCTGATGCAATAAATAAACAATTACTACTCCAAAAGGATAGAATATCCAGACAAATTTCTGTCCGAAAAAAATGAATCTCACGAAAATTGAAGTGAATTAGGAAATAATCGAGAAAGAGGTGACAAAAAAACCTTTTCACTCATTATTAAGAAAAAAAAACATATGGATCATAGAAACAGAAGCTGTCAGAGTGAATAACCAAATTTCCCATTGGATACGAAGATTTACCTCATTCTTCTGCTTAATTTTGGTATTAGAAGTTTCAGTCTCCTTCTTGTCCTGTTTTTGCTTGAATTTCTCTAATTTAGCAAGTCTTTTCGCCTCTTTCTCCAACTGTTTCCCTGTTTTCGGAGGTCCATCCTCGCCGGGCTGATCGCTATTTGTCTCCACCATTTTTAATAATATAGAAAATATACTCGATAACTCCGGTGATCTAATTCAAGCGTCAACCTTCGATAATATTGATCGATTTTTTAATTTGTTGATGATAATCTCAATGGATTCGACGAATCATTTCGCGTGATTTTGATACTATCGCGTGTCCGCGTTGTGAAAGTTGGAGGAAAAAGGGTTTCAACGACAGGTTAGACAAATTGTAGATAATGTAGAAACCTTTTCTAATATATACCAGAGTAAATAGAGGCCCCGACCAAAGAGGATTGATCAAAGTAGAGGCTCAGTTCTGGGGGTTTAATAAGAGGGAGGGCGCCACACGCAATGCTGGGGTATCTGCTCGTTAGCCGACTCAGCGACTCTTCAGTAGCAGTCCCGCTGCCACAGGGACCAGTCGAAAGGGAATTTCCACAGAACATTAGAGATCCTGACATCCACAGGGAAGCAGTCTGGAAGAGATACTTTTACTCAATATAAAGATAAATAATAATTTTTTCATGGAATCATGTGCCTTAATACTTACCAGAATTGGTGCCCTGCACGTAACCAGCCCCACCATAGCCAGGGAATGATAAAAATCTTCAATTGATCGTCCTTATATTT